ATTTTGCAGTTGAACTGTCTTTGTACATCACATTCTCATTGAATATGACATCTCTGCTTCTGATGATCTTCCGATTTTCATAGTCCCAAAATCGGTAATCAAACTCATCACCACCATAACCAACAAAAACACATTTGTTAGATTTGGCATCAAGTTTACTTCTTTCAGCAGAATCTATGTGTACATAAGAGATACAACCAAAGATTCTTAAATGTGAAAGGTTTACCTCTTTTCTGCTCCAAGCTTCTTCCGGTATTCCACCATCCAAAGGAACTGAGGGTCCGCGGTTGATTAGGTAGGCTGCGGTATTGATAGCTTCAGCCCATAGAAACTTGAGCAAACCGGCATGTATCCTCATGCTTCTGGCACGTTCATTCAAAGTTCTGTTCATGCACTCCGCTACGCCATTCTGCTGTGGTGTCATGGAAACAGTTTTCTCCATCTTGATCCTATTGTTTGCGCAAAATTCTTTGAATCTACTGTCTTTGTACTCTCCTCCGTTGTCTGACCTCAACCGCTTTATCTTCAGACCATGTTCTGTTCATGCACTCCGCTACGCCATTCTGCTGTGGTGTCATGGAAACAGTTTTCTCCGTCTTGATCCTATTGTTTGCGCAAAATTCTTTGAATCTACTGTCTTTGTACTCTCCTCCGTTGTCTGACCTCAACCGCTTTATCTTCAGACCAGTTTCATTTTCTACCATGACCTTCCATTTTCTGAAGGTATCAAAGACTTCTGATTTTTTCTTTAGAAAATAGACTCATACCTTCCTTGTAGAATCATCAATGAAGGTGACATAGTACAGTGAGCCTGCAAGAGATGAAACTGAAGATGGCCCCCATACGTCGGTATGAACCAATTCTAACCTTTCTGTCTTGGGTGTCTTGCCAATCTTTGCAAAACTAACTTTCTTCTGTTTGCCAAAGATGCAATCCTCGCATAGGCCGACATCTACATTCTTCAGATCCGACAGCTTTCCTTTTGACAGAAGTGTCTTCATCCCTTTCTCGCTCATATGGCCAAGTCCTTGGTGTCATAGGTTTGATTTTTCATCTGCATCTGTTACTGTAATGATATTCTCTAAGTTAGAGGTTATATAGAGAGTACCATTTTTCTTACCTCAAGCAATGACGAGTGCTCCTTTGGTAATCTTTCATTCATGACCCGAGAAGGTTGTACAATAACCCTCTTCATCAAGCTGTCCTACAAAGATCAAATTTCTTCTAAGACCAAGAATATGTCTCACTCCTTACAACTTTCATGTGGTCTGATTTGGCAATTTTAATCGGATGTCTCCCTTGTCAATAATCTTCAAGGTTTCATCATCTGCTAGATGTACCTTTCCGAAATCACCGCTGACGTAGTTTTTCATGATTTCTTGGCATGGGGTGGAGTGGAAGGATGCCCCTGAATCAAGAATCCGTGATTCAATCGGACTGTTGACGTTTAGAATCATAGCATCACCTCCTTCCTCGATCATGTTGACAGACTCTTGTACGTCGGTATTTTTCTTTGGTGCCTGGCACTCCCTCTTGAAATGATCATTCTTACCACAATTGTAGCACTTGAAGTCTTTCTTTCCTGATCTAGATTTGCTCCTTCTAGATTTTGATCTACCGTGATTTAAACTTCTTTCTGAAGTTCCCCTAGACTCCGTGTGTAAAGCTGAGGAGGTTGGAAGCTTCACCTGATTCTCTCCGCCAAATTTCTTCACTAAGAACCAGATCACGAACGTCATCGAACTTTAACTTGTTGCTTCCCGATGAGCTACTCACAGCCGTGACTGTAGCGTTCCGGCTTTCTAGTAGGGAAGACAAAAGAATCAACGCTCGAACTTCCTCATCAAACTCAATCCCAACTGAACTCAACTGGGTTGTGACTATGTTGAGTTCATTGAGATGTTGAACTACCGATGCGCCTTCTGTCATCCGCAAATTGAACAGCCGCCTCATTAAGTAAACTTTGTTTGAGGCAGATGGCTTCTCATACATGCTGCAGAAAACCGCCATAAGACCCGTCGTTATCTTTTCCTTTGCTATGTTGAAAGCAACATTGCGGGATAACGTTAATCAGATAACTCCAAGGGCTTGTCTGTCGAGAAGAGCCCACTCTTCATCCTTCATATTCTCTGGCTTACTTCCTGAGAGGTTGATACAGCTTCTTCTGGTACAGACAATCTTCAATCTGCATCTTCCAAAAGCCAAAGTCCACACCATCGAACTTTTCAATTTTCACCTTCCCTTCATCTGCAGCCATCGCTCCCACTCGAATCTGGCTTCCTCTAGATTGTTTTTGATAATTTTTACGAACCACCGTGTATTAGAACACTGCTGTCAACGAAGAAGTATCGCCGACGAAATTTCACTATTCACGAAATTTACTATTCACGTGAATACTAATCTTGCAGAAAAATTGACAGAAGTTACAACCAAAGCTCTGATCCCCACCTATTCTCAATCACCGAAAGAGAGTTTTTTCTTCTTTGTCAAAAGCCTCCAGCCACCGAAAGCATCAGAGTAGCCGAAAGGAGACAGCAAATTTTAAAATTAAAGAGAAGCAAGAGTTGAATGAGGAAAAGGTAGGTGGGTCCCACCACGGGTGGGCCCCACCGCGGGCCCCACCACTAATAAAATATTGATGCATAGTGTTTTTTCAAACACTATAAATAGACCTCAAACTCTTAAGGAAAATCTCATCCAAGAAACAACTCCTCTTATATAAAAGTAAGAGAGAGAAAATAAAGGCTTAGAGAAAAGTCCTTGTGAGAGAAAATTGTGAGCAATTTTCAGAGTGAGATTGGATTGTGAGTTTGAGTATGAAAAACTTTGAGTGGTTTGTAAAATTTTCTCCTCTTTAGTGAAAGATCTGCAGCAGCCCGTGGACGTAGGCAAGTTTGTGCCGAACCACGTAAATCTTGCGTGTCCCCCTTTTTGCGCATTTATTTTGCTTTCTCTTAAATCTGATAATAGGGGAATGAGAGTAATTTCCCAACAAAATATACAGTCCGACTGTATTTTTCTGGCATATAAAATCATGTACTTAAAAATTTTTATTCAAGAAAGGGTAATCAACTAAACACAACAATGACACTGCTTAATTGAGAGAGCCTAAAGCTAAACACGTTAAGCGGCACCAATACCGTCAGCATTATGAGCATATATTATTCATTAACTCCTCCTATGATCTCAGTCAACACTGAGTCCAAACCAGCGCGGACCATATACATGTTCGTGAAGAGAGGCTCGAAACCAGCATAACAGGTAGGAATCAAACTTTTCTATGCAAGAAAAATCCAGTTTATGAGGTTTTTTTTTGACTGATGAGATAACGAGATGGCAAATCTCTCTTATTACGACAGTTTACCTTGATATGGCTGCAAGAAAATGACACAAAAGCATAGAAAAAATAACCCTAAACTGTCTTACAAACAAACTAGCATCAAATCCATGCTCCTGAATTATTTGTCAATTTGACTCTGGAGTTAATTGATCTCTTTGGTTCTCACTCCTTCATACAAAAACCTCTTTAAAAGTTGAACAAGGCATGAATTGTTACTATTAAAATGTGTTATCATATTTTGAGGGGCTGAAAAGATGAACAGTATAATGTTTCATCATCTCACATATACTGAATAGCAGGTCATTCTACTGATGGTCCTTTCAGTAACCTGTATATAACACTGCAAAGAGTCATGTTCTTCTTCAAAAAAAATAAAAAAGTGATATATTGGTGTTGAGCAATCAATCCGGGAAGGAAATTACAACCATCATGTAACAGTGCACCTTCACCTGATAGTTGTAACAGTGCACCTTCACATGTTCATCTGAATAAGTTCTTTAATTACAAGACCTAGAGCTAACTAACAAAACTCTATCCCTAATATAGTCCACCTTTTCTCTAAGTTGTTATCACGCTAAGACAAATGGCATGCTCAGTTTGATAAAGGAAAAGCATCTAAACAACTTGCACTCATACAGGAAACTTTAGACCCTGACAAGAAAAACTATCACGCATATCATAAGTTGATAAGTATACTTCTGACGTGTTTGGGACGAAGAACAATCTATACTACAATATAAAAAACCAACAAGGGGTAGTACAAATTTGCATGAATGGCGGACATATCCTCACCTCCAATTATTTTTGAAAGGGTAAAATTGTCATTTTACAAGGAATGATTTCTTTTCTATTTTCTTTTTATATTCTATTAATTTCTACTAGATTATTCTATGTCACTTAATGTCATGAAATAAAACGAGCACACATGACTGGATATTCTATATATTTGAGGTTATAAAAGATACAAAGGTAAAGATATAGATTTTTATGAAAAAAGTATATATACGTAAATAAAAAAATCAAGGTTATATGCATATATCTACACGAAAATTTATGCTAATATATATAGTGAGGGTGAAAAATTAGTGGATTTCAAGTTCAAATAATGAAGCTAAAAGGAATGATTTCTTTTCTATTTCCTTTTTATATTCTATTAATTTCTACTAGAATATTCTATGTCACTTAATGTCATGAAATAAAACGAGCACACATGACTGGATATTCTATATATTTGAGGTTATAAAAGATACAAAGGTAAAGATATAGATTTTTATGAAAAAAGTATATATACGTAAATAAAAAATCAAGGTTATATGCATATATCTACACGAAAATTTATGCTAATATATATAGTGAGGGTGAAAAATTAGTGGATTTCAAGTTCAAATAATGAAGCTAAAAGGACACTTTTCTTTAAAATCACTTAGTCAGCAGACTCTCCCTATCCATCAAAATGCACACTCTCAAAAAAAATATGCAGTTAATTTTTTAATATCTTTAGGAATATAAATAAGCAAAAGCAATATATTTTCATATGCACACTCCCAAAAAATAATATGCAGTTAATTTTTTAATATCTTTAAGAATACAAATAAGCAAAAATTCTAGTGAGAGTAGACAAAAAAAAAGGAAGTGCAGTATAATTAACACTCTTGCTTACCTAATGATCTTCTCATGTTGGGTATCATGTGCATATGCAAGCATCTCGCCTGCTTTTTCACTGGGAGTTCCGACCATAAGCAAGCCCATGCTGATACCAGCAGCTTCACCAGCGACAGCGCTATCAGTATAAAGCACATTCTTGACCTCCTCGTATATCTCCTCGTCAGCTGTTCCTAGTGCTGCCAAGCCCAGACCTAAGCATGCACCATGCTGGATAACCTGTGTTTAAGAACAGTAGAACACATTTAGTAGGTCCAATCTTCAAGTCTAGGCTCATAAACTAAAATCCTAAATAATATAGGCCGAGAATCACCTCAGAATTAGTATTCCGAAGACTTTCACGAAGAAATTGTTTGATGCCTTCACCATGGTTAGCATGAATCAAACCTAGCGCATAAAGAGCACCACCTTCAGAGTATGGACTGCCACCACCTACGGCACCACTTTGAGGTAGGTATGGTGCCATCAAAGACCGTCCTTGTTGGAGGTGACCCCTATGAATAACACCTAGCCCAGCAGTAGCACTGAATTTTGCCCAGTTAGTCGCTCTGCTCAGCCACTCCTGCCAAGTTCCAGTTGCAAGTCAGTATTAACAGAAGCTGTATAATCTACCACCCCTATGCATGATTTAAGAGGTAAATTTATAAGGTTAAACCATAATTTAAGACGTAAATTTATATGGTTAAACCAAGTTACCAGGTTCTCTCGTAGAAACGTGTCTACCGTGGTTCCAGCATGCATTATTGCATTAGCACAGATAGTTGCACTGTGACATACACTATTTCTCATTTCAACTGATTGCTTTATTGTCTTCAATATCAAAAGATCGGACCTGCATGCATGAAAACCAGTAATGTTTATTCCCTTATTAGGCTAAGCATGCAAATGGTAAGAAATCAATCAGAAACAAATCATCTTACTTGTTCTTGCTATATAAGAACTGTATTGTAAGTTGTATAGACGTCTCTCCAGATAAAATTCCTTTTATTTTGGCAAGCTTTTCAGAAAATGCAGCTTCACTTGAGCTCATGACATTTGCAGTACCATTGGGAGTGTGAGAGTCCTCTGCCATCGGGACATCCCCCGCCCCCATAGTAGGATTTGTATCACTTGTAGGGTTTGTATCACTTGCACCTGCATTTCCATTTTCGGAACTCGGAGCTGCAGATCCTTGATCAGGATTTTCTAAAGGTTGTTCAGTATTCTCATGATGTACTGGCGATTTTGAATCCTGAAGGAGGTTCCTGACATTTAAGAGAAAGGCTTGCCTTTCATTCTCAACAAGGTCAAAAGCTATCTGAAATGCTAAGAGTGCATCATCCTGTAAAATCACATTGAATCACAAATCAGTATCTAAAATCAAATTAGCAAAAATTATGGAGAAGAAGATAACAAATACCTTGCTGTCTGACAGAAGAAGCTTCTCCAATATACTTGCTACAGGTTTAGGTTCATCGAGGAACATGAGACACTGACAGATGCTTAAGTAATCAGGAGAAGGCAGTCTTTGATATATTTTGACAAGAAGACGAAGCACCTGGGTCAGAAAATGGGAATAATATAGTTAAGAAGAAGATCAATCTTTAATCTAAGAAAAAGAAAGAGAAGGTTTATCCATTTTGACTACAATAATATACTGATTCAAGAAAGCTCTCTTCCCCAATGTACCCCGACAACTCATGCAGAAGACTGGTATGTAGAAATCAAAATTATGCAGAAGGAACCAAGGATCCAGCAAATACTAATCACACCATGAACTTTTATGTAAACGGTATTTCTTAAGTGGTGGTGACCGTTAATATAAAAAATTGGAATATAAAGGCCAAGTTGTTGAAAAAGAACATAACAATCTAACCCTTATCTATACCGCTCCAAGATATTTCATGCATATTACATTATGTTTGTTCAAAATAACTTGTAGGTTGCAATTTATAAATTTACGAAGATAATTAAGAACCAGAGTTAATCAAGGACCATAAGTATCGTATACTTAGTATACTTCAAACTTGAATAACATAATGGCAGGTAGCCCAGCTCCCTTTAAAAACAATTCAAAAGTTCCTGAGGCACATCATTTTACCCAATTTCCCAATTCAAGATCTACGTGACGGACAAATTTCATCAACAGACTGCAACTTATATATATCAAGACACTGGTCAAATTTAAGATACGAGATTGGAAAAAGTCAAATGAAGTCAAATGGATTTTATAAATGATTATATTCACCTATTCAGTCCAAAAAATCTTTTGCTACAGAAATCCTGTGTCATCGAGGACTATCACCAATGCTCCAATATACAATATGAAGTTTATGAATGTCCCTCTTATTCTACTAGCTATGCGCATCTATTGAATGTCCATTATAGCTGATGTAAGGCAACTGGGACTTGGGAGCCGATGAAGAGCTCATTTAAGCTGGATGAAAAGGATAACGGTGGTGGTCCGTGCTAATAAGTCCAGAAATTTCTATGCTTCTAAAGAATGAACATATGCCATTTTTGGCCTTGAATATTTCATAACATATATGATTTACATATATTCAATTATTCATTCTATAAGATTACGACAGCAGAATATACTCTACCATGTGATATATCACATAGATATATTGCTCAAAAATCTTGACCTTTTTGGAGTTTGCTAGTATTAATTATTAAAATTTAGAGCTTCCTACTAGCATGACATGAATCTTTAACCTGCATGCTTTTCTATTTTCCCCTCAAATTCAGCCTCATCTCTTAGTCCTATCTCATCTTCATTTTAAAAAAACTGTTAATTCACATTCGAAAGATGATCCCATGAGAATGAGAGTAAATCCTGCGCATATTTGACACTGTTAAGGCACAACCATGCACTCAAATGAAAAGCCGTGCTTGTGAGAAAGAGGTGATGATCTTCCATATGATGAAAGATATTGTTAAGTAATGCACTTGCATTCCTGATATAACCAACTCCACCCCACTTCTCAAAACTGAAAATATACTGCATGGTTATAGAAGGCAGCAACCGACCCATTCCACGTACAGAAATCTTATCATAAACACTAGAAGCGTAAGAATAACAAGACAGGAATAAACAACGGTGGTCGAAGAAAAAGAAGAAGGCTCCATTGTCATCATAGAAATTGATATTGCCCTTCAACAAAAAACATCATGTATCCTGCCACATCAACCATCAAAGGGGAAGAGGACAAGAGTGTGTAGTATAAAAGTAAAAGAAAAGAGAGATCACAAACTTCCTCAATATGGAACTCCCCCCCCCCCCCCGAGGCAAAAAACTAAAAACTAAAAAAAACTTCGAAATCAGCATCCTTTCAATGTGGTTTCTTCCTCCTCTTGTTGCTTTGTCTAGCAACCTCTTTTTGAGGCTTCTTTGACATTCGGCAAAGCATTGAGGTCGCAACCATTATCTAAATTGTTTGATCTATTTCTCTAAGATAAGAAGTAAAAGATGAGAGACCAAGGATTCAATCCCAAGAGATTATATACATGAGAAAAAACCAACAATCAAGTATGAAGGTACAAACTAACAAGCACTTGACAAAGCAACAATTGGCATCTCAAAGTCCACGTGATGTCTGGAATTTCCCAATGTCAGCTTTGCACAGCGATAATTGGGTACCTAATATTCAACTCAAAACTATACACTATAGTCGATACTGGATACCATCATTGTTATCTTTCACAAAAGAAAGTTTGACATCATCTGATCTATTTCACAAGGGTTTCAAACACAACTTTCAGGGAAAGTTTGCACAAAGGAACGCCTAACATTATGCAACACTCATACCTGTCTATAAACAAGACATGAAACAAAATTAAACCGCGGTTATCCTTATATAATAAATAGCATATTCCTTGAAGATATAAACATCTTGGCTGTGAACAGTGGTCTATTTCATTCACAATTTTGCCTATAAAGCACTTTCATGAAAATTTCGGGGTGCCGGGATAAAAATACGGGGCACAAACTTCAAAATCAAGTTTAATAATAAAAAGACAAGTGACGACACAGACAAGTTTTCATCAAACTGAATTCTGGTAGATAACTTACGGTTAACAAACCTTGTGCTAGGACACACGGCACACTAACTTATGATGGATGAGTTCAAGCACAATATGTGGGATAATGCAGCTAGTTTGGGGCGAAAACATAAAATCCTCTCTTTTAATGTGGCTTTGTGGAACTGATACTCAAGAAAGCAACAAGAAACCCAAATATTGAGGTAAGGGATGTTCTGCCCAATTGTGGCGATGCCGTATGTTTTGAGTTAAAATTTTAATTCATGACAGTTCCCATATCAAATACTTAAGCCACATAATAATGGTTTTAATGTGTGGTACGATTGATTAGGACCATGCAGTTTACATGAAATCAACTTCTAGTTTCATAACATTCCATTCAGTCGCAATACCATTACGATTATCAGAATAAAATTTAAGAAGAAAAGTACCTCGCAACGGTACTCCCTATGGTTCACAAAGGAATGAGAAAGGTTTATGCAGTAAGAAAGAGCCCCATGAACATTATCACTGCGAGTTATTGCTTCCTCGAGCTTATCCAATCTCCTACACTCAACAGCCATTCCCATAGCTTGTTGGTATTTCCCGTCAAGTATACACCTGCATCAAATAGGAGTATGTTCCCATACAGTTTTAGGATTTAGTGTTTAGGTAATTTCTTCACAATAACCTAGCAAATAAGGAAAAAGAATAATTAAGTAACGTACTTGTCCAGCATTCTTTCCACTATGGCTTCCAGTCTAGGATCCAACTTCTCCTTTTCTCCGCCGCCAGGTTTAGACTTAATGCTGGCATACTCATCAATAGCTTTGGCTAAAAACAAACACCAAGAAAATAAATTTCCAGAGCATAAAAAGAACACTCCACAAAAGATATCAAATTGCCAGCCAATAAGCAGAAGATCGACATGCATTTTCGTACCAAGTAGTGTATGGGCATAATCAGATTCCTCAGAAACATCAAACAAAGGCCCAGCACCCAGGGCATAAGATAACGAGTCATTAAGTTCGCCAAGGTAGTAAAAGACCTGCACGAGACAAAACTAAAACGTGAACCAACAAATTTTCCACCATATATTACTTTAAATTATAGTAATAATCGGTCTACCACCTTGGACACAACCAAAGAAGCAAGCTCCCTCTGTTCAAACTCCTCATCCTCAGATAAACTCTCTCTGCATCAAATAAATGAAAGGAAAAAACTCATCAGGTCAACCGAAATAATCACCAAAACCCTAAATCTTGGTCAGCCCCTAAGAAACAACCGAGAAACATAAATACGCGTCCCCGGCTATTCTATCAATCTAAGAATTTTGCAAAAAAAAAACTGATATTTCCAAAAAAACCCTAATTTCGGCAAGATCGGATCTGGCGGTACGCCCTATGCTCTCCCAAGAGCAAAACCCTAACACGATCAACACCTCAATAACAAAAAGGACAAAACTGCAAAATCCAGGGTTAGGGTTTGCGCTCACATCGTTGGGACGCTAGTAGAGATCTCGTGCCAAAAGAGATGGACAACGGAGTTCAGCTTGTCGAGGGCGTGAAGCTTGAGAGCAGGATGCTGCTCGTTGAGCATCGCGAGAAGACCGCTTGCAGAGCTCACCATCGCCGCCGCCATGATCGATCTTGATTACGGCGAGAGAGAGAGAGAGAGAGAGGAGAAGGGAGAGGAGAGAGATATTTTCTTTTACTTGAGAAGAAAGAAAAACAAAACTAAAGGGTTATGAGTAAACTCAGTAAAGTATGGGGCTTTATTGATTATACTACTCTTTTATCATGGGCCGGATTCGGGTTGGGTTTCGAGGCCTATAAGAATTTGGGTTTGTAAATTTACTTTCAATAATAAAAGATAAACCCTAACTATGTTCTAATAATGGATATTGTTAATCAGGCCTCGGTACAAGTTTTTGTAAGAGCATAGGAAGTTAACTTTTGACCAAATACTTCGAATGCAATAAATTCGATAAAAAAAATTAAATTGGTGTTGATTGGGGAAATAATGTCAAGAAAGAAACAATACGACATTAGACCAATTTAGATATGACCGATTAGGGTCAGCCGAGCAAAAGTTCTAGTCATGTTCTAATAATGGATTTTGTTTATGAGGCTTTAGTATTAATTTTTGTTGTCGTTTTTATAACAGCACAAGAAGTGAACTTTTGATCAAATATGAGTCTACTGTCAAAGTAAAAAAATTTTGTAGTAATAAAGAACTCTAAATCCATAGAGAATCTCCGAAAAATATTTCTAAAATTTAAATTCTTTTTTAGAAAAAAATTAAGTTTTAATTTGAACATGCAATACTCATTTTCATAATTTGTTTTCCTCTTGTGCCGTACCATACGATTGTACGACCCTAAACTATCTGTTGATCACTTCATCACTTGGGAACTTCGTACAGGTGGGCCAACTCTACTCAACAAACGGGCCAGGCAAACTTGTAGTTTCGAAGTTAAATATGATACAATCACGAACGGGCGCAGACATGGGCCGACTTCACACGCTTAAGCCCGAATATAATACTAGAGTGATTTTCTCGAAGGGAAGACATTTTGCCGACAAAAAATTGGCAAAAGTTGTATGCCATCATACGGATGTAAAGATGATTAAAAATTTTATTAGGGCAATTACAAAACTGAGTTGATCATTTCTTAGGAGAGGGAGGTCTTTTTAGAAATATACAAAGAGTCCTCCATAAAATATTATACAAAGGACAAATGTCCATATATATAATATAATATATTATATATATACGCGTGAAAAACCCTATCACTAAGGATAGGAAATAGTGATCCACACTTTTAATCCATGCATCTTGCCCTAGGATCCCTTGCATGATATGAAGGACGTTTTATAGGTAATAAATGAGTGGCTAAAATTTTGGTGCGATCACTATTTCCTAGCACTTAAGTTGATAGGAGTCTTAGCTCTTATATATACATATATATAGAATATATATATATATAAATCTATATATATATCATATACTAGAGAGAGAGAGAGCAGAGACGAGAGAGTTATGCGGTATCCTGTCATAGGAGGGGATTTCCGGCCTGACGCCTCTAAAATCACATGACTGACCCGTTGTTAATTGGATGCCATCGCTCCCTTGAACCCTGGATTACATCCATATTTCTAAAATTCCCAACACATCCAAGTTTGGGTGAACCCGTCGTCGTTGCTACCCTTCATCCACCTTATATCAATTTTAACGGTTTGATGAGATAGAACTTTTCACATGGCTCGATGGGAGGCTCACAACGACGACGGGTTTCACCCCAAACTTTGGTGTGTTGGATTTTAGAATATTGTAGATCAAGTTCAACGGAGCGGATCAATCCATAATACTCGCTCAATCATGTGATTTTAGAGGGCGTCAATGAGGAAAATCCGCACTCCTATGACAAGGATACCCCATTAATCTCATATATATAATATATTATATAATTTATATAGTATAATATATCTATACTATCATAGTATAACTATATATATTATATATATATTCAATATATATATATATATTACTATAGTATATATATAATATATATATATATATATATATATTATATCCACTCAAGTTTATAGGAGCTTTACTCATATATAGAGAGTAAAGCTCCTATAAACTTAAGTACGTTGTCCATCAAACCTTTTATCCCTTCATTATACTTTAAGATTTGTTCTACACATTAATTGTTATCTTTGAGGTTTGTGAATTCATTTGTATCACATGCTAGCACAAATCTCAATGCAAAACCAACGAACAAAAAAGTTGGCGGACAAAAAGCTTTTATCCACTTAAGTTTATAGGAGCTTTACTCTATATACATGAGTAAAGCTCTTATAAACTTAAGTAGATTGTTCATCAATCTTTTTTTCCATTTACTATACTTCGAGATTTGTGCTACACATCAATTGCTTTCTTAAGGGCTTTCAACTACTCGTTTGTATGTATATATATGTATATATGTACACACACACACTTAAGTGAATAGGAGCACTTGTCCACCAAACTTTTTATCCCTTCATTATGCTTTGAGATTTGTGCTACACATCAATGCTATCTTTGAGATTTGTGCCTTCATTTGTATCACATGCTAACACAAATCTCAATGCAAAATCAATGATAAAAAAATTGGTGGACAAGAGCTTCTATCCACTTAAGTTTATAGAAGCTTTACTATATATATATATATATATATATATATATATATATATAATGTTTATACATGATTTTTCTTTCCCCCAAAAAGTTATGCAATTATAACAATCTTTTTTTTTTGTGGTTACTTTTATGGTTTTTGAGATCTATACAAATATGTAAAACATCTTTTGGCATAAATGCAAATAGTAATTATTTTACGCTTGCTCTTATTTGCAGCTATGGGCCTTACTTGTAACTTTGGGGGCCAAGTTTTTCTGCAGGCTCTTGCTAGCTGATTCCTCTCCATAATAGAAGGCTCTTGCTAGCTGATTCCTCTCCCTAATATAAGAACTCTTTAATAATGGTGAAAATAGCGATAACGTATAGCATAACTTTTAACTTATATTAAATAATTTATTATTATTTAAATATTTTCTAAATACATGATATCCAAAAATTAAATAATGTGAATAATCATCACAATTTTCGAACATATCATCATAAAAATACTATCACAAATCAATATATCATCACAATTTCACGACAAAATCAACCATGTATGCCTTAACAATCATTTCAGAAGCATAGCCATTAAAAAATATACATCACACATTATCACAATAAGTTCTGATAGGTAATAGCACATCATAAATCTAAAAACATCAGTAATCCAAGTGAAGTTACAGCTTTTATTTTTAAAAGAAAAGTATTAGTTTTTATTACTTCTAAATCTGGTTAATTAGAAAAAAAAGGTAATTAGTAATTTTTTTACTCTCTTTTTAATGATTTTCAGTGCAAAGTTTGATTAATTTGAAAAAAACTCAATCACAGCCATCATAATTCTTTTAAAAATGAATCTTAACCCTTGAATAGTTTAAAATAAGCTATGGTGCGCTATGAAGACGCGCCACAAAACGTACGCTATGGGTGAAATAGCGTACGTTATTTTGTTTCTGCGATATTTTCCAACGCTACGTTACGCTATGCGTCATTTTGCACTACGGAAAGCGTTATTTTCTACACTGCTCTTTAACTCATATTTGTGACTCATCTGACGCATAAGCTAAGGAGTTATACCTTGAAGTGCTAATGATTCAAAATTTGATTGGGTATCATTTACAGTAAATTATCATTCCTTTTTAAAATAGAGAGATCTCCAGGATCACTTTTCTTCGTTTCCTGATCACTAGATTATTATATATACTTGGTACCTAACATCACATATTTGGTGGGCTCGAAAGAATTTATGAAAAAGGAAGCGAATGTTAAAGATGCGCTTGGTGGAGCGACATTCTTGCCAACAACACCCCCAATAGCCAGGGGGTAGAAAAACCTAAATTTTCTACATAGGTTCCAAAAATCGGTGAGTGCACGAATACAATTAGTCTGATTATTGATGGGCAGCATTTTCTACTGATATTATATTATTCTTAATTGCAGAGTATTTAGATATAGTATTCTGAATTCAAGAGTATTTTACTGATATATTATTCTAAATTTCAGGGTATTGATTGCAATGATTTAAAATTGATAGCGGAACAAATCATGTTTGGATTTACTTCCTGATGGTTTCATTATCTATATAGATGGCCACCCACAGGACCTTTTCCCTCATAATCCTTCGTACGTAACACATTCGATCAATTCCATCGAGGACTTTTGCATATTTACCCCTCGAATCTTTCATATACAAATTTACCCTCTAAATATTGGTATTTACAAAACCACCCTCCATAATAATTTTAGCTTCTAAACAGGGACCGTTACCACCTTATTGAAAATTATTGAAATATCTTTAGCATTACATTCTTTAAAAACCAACATTCTTAAGGGGAACGGGTAGAATTATCCAATACGAGAGCTTTGCGTGGGAATTTTTAAAAATATCAAGATTTGAAGGATGAATTTACAAATATGGAAGATTTGAGGAGCAAATTTGTAAATACGGAAGATCGGAGGGGCATATATATATATAAAAAAAACCCATTCTTCCAACGAGCTTTTTCAAATCTCCATCAACTAACAGGGCATATATGCGAAAACCTTTAATTTCCACCGATGAGCATTTCAAATCTCCATCGCCAACAACCCTGCTCTCCCTCTCTCTTTTGAGCTGGTGCCTACCAATACGACGAGGCCTTGATGCTAAGTGCATACAGCCCAATGGGGGCCCCTAAGTTGATTGCAACAGCTCATATGAATTTAAAAAAGTTTGTAATAATACACACAAGCTTGAAAGATATCGCTAAACAAACTCGCTAGCCTTTCTTTCTTTCTTTTATTTCCACCAACCTCATATTATGTCCGCTTTCTTACTCAATCGCTCAATTTTTTCAACAAACTACATGTTCCTTTCCCACAATTTCCCCAATTTTAAAGCACTAAAAAGAAAAGTGAATGGTGATCGAATCTCCTAGATTGTGATAGAACAATATCAAATCGAATAAACTAGAATACCTCATCTAATAACTTCGAATGACAACCTGACTTTAAAAATGGACAAATTTTTAAAAGGAACCTTTTTTCAATTTTATATAGCAAAAACGACCTCATCAGAAAATAAT